ATATATATATATATATATATATATATATATATATATATATATGCTTGTTGTTGATTCTTTTATCTTAATTTTTCTAGATATAATTTTTGGATACATTTTATATGTGATTAAAACTTTTCCTCACCTAAAAGAATAAATAAAAAGCAAACTAACAGTAGTAGGTAATAGGAGAAACTATTTGTGCTATGTGAAGGCTTGTAAACCCTTTTAATTAAATATATAAAGAAAAGTGTACAGCAAATTAATACTCAGTCCAAATACATCACCATTTGTAAAATAAGGATATCCTTGAAATAAATAGATATTTCTGGACAAAATTAAGAAAATGCTGAGTAAACAGATATTAGTCATTGATTATTACAATCTCAAATACACAGTACTAATGGGTACTGTCATATAGATATCCTTAAAATAGTTATTAAGTATACAGTCTTAATATTTTTTATCACAGTATTAAATAAAATGTTATTTCTTAACATGCTTTAATAGGCCAGTACCAAATACAAAGAAAAGTATTCTGCTCACTTAAACAGTTTGTCTGAAGAAGAAAGGCAAAGAGTAATATCAGAAGATCATATTTCTAAAAATAAAATACAAAAATACATAAAACTTGCTGAATGGTAGTATTGCCAAAATAAAGTTATGGAAAGACTAATTCAACTGTGGACAATAACAATGAAAATCTTAAGAATGCCTTGACTCTTGTTGCATGTTACCAACAGTACACGTTCCAGTCAGCAAAGGATTTATTGAAGCTCCTATAACTAAAGAATTTTGTGATCTTTCAAAAAAAAAGGGAAAGAAATATGTAGAACTTTTGAATTAAATAAAAAACAAATCCATTAGGGTATGAAACTTTATGATGTGTTGACAATTTTTGTTTAAAGTTAACATTAGGTCTATGTCACTTAAAGATCAACATTATTTTATTGTTGTTTTTTTCTAGCCAGAATTGATTTTTAGTCTATTATTTTATGGGTGTCCCAAAAATTAGTTGCCATAGGCTGAATTACTATACACACTTACAGAATATGGTCAAAATTTCCATTGTGAAAATTAACACAACATTGAAGACATTAAATCCAGATCACATCTACATGTTCATTAATGATCAATTCAATTATCTAAAAAAAAATCTGCAAAAAAATGAGAAATGTCCTCAACTATTGCAGTAGCAACTGACTTTCAGACAGCTGTAGTAGAGGTAAGGATAAACTCAACAATTTCAGAAAAATCTAATTCATATCATTTCTTGTTTGCCTATGTGAGTGAGTATCAAGATGGTATCAAGGGACATGTATAACAGCATAGTGTCCATATAGGCCTGGGCCTACATATATTTTTGCAAATAAAATGTGAGAATCAGAATGAAGCAATTTGCATTAAATTTACATTCTGTATGCTACTGGACTTACACATATATTTAGGCCTAGATGAACCACTGAGGTAGTCTACTGGCAGAATATTCTTTTTTTGCCACACTTGAACCATGTAGAGGCCAGAGACACTATTTAAGTTATGATAAGAATCACAGAAATAGTAAATTGATTTGTTTTTGATATAGTGCTTTGCTTGTAAACTTAGTTGAGAAAATGCAACCCCAAAGCCGATGATTAGTCACAAAAGATTCAAGTTATTTTTCTGTTATTCCTTTACCATCTGTGGTCAAGTAGCATATCAAAAATAATAAGTCAGATTTGATAACATTGACTGTGTTTTTAATTTCAAGTAATTTGGTAACAGAAACAGATGCAATATTACTGCACTTTCTAAAAGTGATTGGGCTATTATTATTATTTTTTTTCTGATGGTCTGTATGACTGTTAATATTTTATAATGGCCTAAATATAAGTATGGGGTGAAAACATCAGTAATAATTTGTTTCCTCCTGTTGTGTATTTTCATCATTCCAATATATTTAATACAAAGATTTTGTTCTCAGAGTGTGCTGCATAATGTATTTAAGTGTATTGGTGAGATGGATTTCTAATTAGTTATATTTTTATATTTTGATTAGGAGAAATAGAAACATATCGTTTCATAAGAAAGCAAGAAGTTATATGACAGTAATGGGTTAGTGGTTTAAGAAATATTTCATTAAATGTTTTTCAGATGTATTTTCTCTCTCTATGATAATTGTTGGGGAAAGGGGGGCTGTACAGTTTTTGCCCAAATGAGGTTACAAGTCTTTCTCAAATGATGGTGAAAATTGCCCACATCACCATACTTTCCATTTCTAATTTTGCCAAAATGAAAACTGAAAATTTGCCTGAATGTATCGCAAGCTGTGGGGGCTGCCACCATCCAACTCCCCTGCCTCGAGGCAGTCAAACATCGATAAATTTCTTTGTGAGCTAATCAAAATTAAAATCATTCATAAAATGAATTCGTGACATAGTCATAGAATAATTATATGTATATTATATGTATATTCTTTATATATGAATATTAAAGAGTTTATATGAGCCTTTATAACAAGATTAAAATTGATATTTGGTTCTTAAGAAAGCAAGGTAGAAATTTAATCTGACTCACAAGTTTGACTTTGTAAATGGAACTCTTATGTAAAAGATTGTTAAGAACTGTTCTATTATAACTTAAATAAATATATTGACAGCAAGAGTGACAGTAGGAGTGGATCTAGTGATGACAGTTCTGAATCTGGATCCAAACTTGAGAAAGAATAAAACTGTACACATTCAAAAGAAAAATAATTTGGATGAGTGTTTAACTCTTTTAAATTCTGTGAAAGTGCCTTTTTAAAACAATATTCTATTCATTTTTATGTGAAGAAGAATCCTGAATATATTCTTATTTTATCCCTTACATAACATTAAAAATTCTCCATAATTTTGGTGCTTTGTTTTTAAGTATTGGATTAGTTGGTGGTCCTCTTCTTGGAGAATTACCATACAGACCTCCAAAAAGAGAGTAATCAACAATTGTTTGGATTTTTTAAATTAATTTATCCAAAACAAGTGTTAATAAAATAAACGTGGAAAGACAATTTTTTTTTAAATTTCCATATTTAAGTTATAATTTCATTTTGTAGGTAATTTGACAAGAGAGATCAGACAAAAATGAGCAAGACCATGTCATCATTTTGCCCCCTGTAAAAAATAAATAATATTTAAAAAATACCAATTTATAAAGAGTTAAAGAACTTCTAGGTTTTCTTCTGCTGTTTTTGATAATATATATATATCAAGATTCTGTACTTTTTCAAATCAGATGATGATATACACAAATTAAAAACACTTGTAGATAAGGACAGAATAAATGTGCAGAGATTGTAGTTATGAAATTACATGGAAGTCAATAATTAGAACCTCATGGTTTTATACACTATTCATGTGTTGTTGTTTTTTTAAACACTTTACAGAAAATTTCCATAAATTAGCAATGAGCTTTTTACCCATGGCGTAATGGCTCAAAGAATGGTTCTGAGTTTTTTTCATGTACAGACTTTTAGCTCATAGCTCTGTCATCTCTTGACCGATTTAAGGTCTAATTACAGTTTTGGACTCAGGAGGTCCAACCCTTTTGACTGATGTATTTGACCACAGCCAAGGTTTCATAGATTAATTTACTCTAATCCTGCCTAAAAAAAATTCAGTTTAAGGGTAGGATGTTACAGATCATAATGAGTAATAAAATGGAATTAGGTATATACATGCCCCATGCTTGGTATTGCTGGTGTATAAAAATTAAAAGGAAAAAAAAAAGGTCTCGTAGATTATTTTACTCTAATCCTGCCTAAAATAATTTCAAGTGCTGCAGCTATTGAGGATTCCCTCTTGTTTTATCTCTACAATAACTTAGGTAAAACATAAAATAAATGATCAAAGTATGTATCTATCTTTTTTAAGCATAACATATTTGCAACAAAATTACTGATAGTGCAGAGATAATATAAGTGCTTTGTTTATTGAAATACTATGTATTAAAGTTCTTGAAATTAAGTATACAAAAATTATATTTGCCCCTAAACCCAACAAATAAATCTTTAAGTTATTTACTGACTTTTATAAATTATTTTCCTTTGTTTTTTCTGAGGTGTGTCACTGCTGTTATTTCAAAATTCATAAATAAATGTACTTGTCTCATTTTCTTTAAAACTAAATTCATTGAGTTTATACAATTATGTATATGTACAAAATGTAAAATATGAGATTCTACAACAAAAGATATCTCTTGAGCTTGGTATGGCTCGATGGTTAAGATGCTTGACTCGTAACCTGCAGATCATGGCTTCGATTCACAACACCTAATCTGCTCACTCTTTCAGCCTTGGGGGCACTATAATTGATGGTCAATCTCATTTCTCATTGATAAAAAAAGTAGTCCCAGAATTGGTAGTGGGTGGTGTTGACTAACTACCTACACTTTAGTCTATCACTTATAAATCAGGCATGGCTAGCACCGTTAGCCTTGTGCAAAATTCAACAAAAAACAAATATTTCTTGAATTTCAGTTTCAGAAGCTCATTTAGTGGAACTATTTTGAAGAATCACCTAGGATTTTCTAGATAATGTTATCAACATTATC